TGTGTCGTAGATGGATCGGTGGCGGTATTGAAAACATCTTCAAGGAACGAGTGTTCAGCATTACTTCAGCTTGAAGAAAAGATGGTTGTAGGTTGTTGGATAAATATAGTGGAACCAGTAGCGACCGGTGAAATTATAGGGTTACCCGAAAGTGGCATACGGGTACTTGTTAGCGAGTATCCAATTCTACCAGTCAATAGAGTGACGGGCATGATAGTTGCCCCCGATAGTGGATTTCCGATTATACTCAAAGGTGAAGGTGGTATTCATTCATTTAATATTTCATGTGATAAGATTACTTTTACGAAGACTTCGTATGTTACAAATACATGCCCGAATAGATTCTGTGATAGGCGTAAGACGTTACAGTATCATCAAGCTACGAGTAAGGCTCATTGCACCGTTTGTACTGGTGCTTTACACTCGTTAGGGAAATTTTCCATTAAGAGTGAGATAAGTCCGTTGTCGTTGGGCAGCGGTCTTATGGATGTGGCGATTCATGTCAGTGGACGAAAATATGCATCGATCTTTATGGACGAATCACTGTTGGATATGAATTGGAGCCAGTATGCGAGCTGTGTTGAGCGTCCGACGGACGCCGTCCGCTGCGATCGGTTAAAACTGCAGTTGGAACAATTAGTCAACTGATCAATGGGGATGAAGATAGCTATTATATGATTTATGGATGGGCGGTTGCTACTACGGCCAGTGATATCAATGGTGAGAAAGGAATTGTTGTTGTTGCTAAGATTTATATTGTTGATTTGGTATGTGTGTTATCCGATAGTATTAGGGTTGCGGTTGAAGGTGCTAAGGTTAAAGCTCGGCAGGTTGCTGATAGGAGTAAATGAAGCTTTTGGTTGGTCATGGAAAATTATTTCTGTTGGGTCAGGTACTTGAAACGTTCGATCGAGAAAGATAGCGATTTAGCTTACCAGTCTAGTCCTTATTGTCATGACTATTGATATGTTAGGTACAAATCATCTTAGTGAATATAAGACTTTTGAAATCAGTTAAGTGATTCATACAAATTTCTGGCTTTTCGAAGGGTGAATTGTTGAGTTGAGATGCAGAATTAAGTGTGATGTAAGTCATTCAGATTGATTACATTTGGCAATGCTAAAAGTTTGTTAGCTATGGCAAA